TTAAATTCCGTCATCAATTTGTTGTCATCATCAAAAAGGGGGAGATTGTTGAAACTCGGCCTTTGATGATAAAATCAATTGATGAAGTTATGATCTAATATGCTATAAGAAATTTAATGTAGGACTAACTTCGATCATGAAAAGTGAAACAATTAAAGTAGTAGAATTAGACGTTAGGTCGGAATCAAAGATCGGGCATTAGGTCGGAAGAATCAAACACTACGGGAGTCAACATGCCAATAGATCGGGCGATACGCTGAAGATTCGGATGATGCGTCGAAAGTTTGTCGGGAGTTCGAATGAACCAATGATATGCCGGACAACTTAGATTCTTGTCTTGTAATTATTTAAGACTTAATTATTACAATTAGGTCATAAATTGAGTTAGTTTTGGGTGTAACTCTACTAACTCAATTATGGACCTATTGGGCCTGATCTAGGGTTGAATTGAGCTCATTGGAATGCCCATTCAGTGACCCAGGGTTAGGTTAAGTGGTGGCACCGTTAGACCAAGTGGTAGAACCACCTATTAGCCTGAAAAGTACGAAATATACTTCTTCAGAAGACTCGATGATAGTACTGCCGATGTCAGGCGGTGGTACCACCCAAACATAGTCTCTCAGACTGCATGGTGGTACCATCGGTGTCAAGAGATAGTACCGTCAGTACACAATCTCACATGTGTCAAGTGATTTAGGCGGTAGTACTGTCAATTGTCAAGGATGCAGGCGAGAGTACCGCTCAGTATTGACGATAATACTGCTAGTACCCCTAAAATCGGGTATGTGATACTTTTTGTCTCTATTTTTGAAGTCATTCGGGGCCTATAAATATCCCACTCTTTCCTGCTTGAGGTAGCAAAAAAAGAGGATGAAAATTTATGTTTTAGAGCATGAAAACTCTATTAGAAAATTGAGTTCCTTCTCCTTAAGCTTAGAGATTATTATAAGGGAGGTTGAGAAGATTTCCTTGTAAAATAGGGTTGTAAAGGTTCTCTCCTAAGCTTATCAAAAGGAGAAATAGTTATAAGAGGACACTTAATCTTCGTCCATTGAAAGAAGATTGATAGTGAAAACTGATGGTCTCAATAGAAGATGAATTGAGAGTGAACATAGGTCGGAATGATCGAACCACTATAAAATCGATTTATATTTCTATTTACACTTTTCATTTATATTACTTATTGATTTACTTGGTCACTACTTTTACACGTATTGAAAGTTAAACATCTTTGATTTGATCAAACGATATTTTATATGTTGTAAGTTACACATGGTTTTCAAGGCACAGAAGGCTGCTTATCACCTGCAAGAGTTTGCATAACCATGTAGTGTTTTCAGAGGTCGAAAATGGTACATAACTCAAAACACACCCATAGTTGAAAACGTACGAACTAAAAGATCAGCCACAGTCTCAATTTTCACTTGCTTTGCTTCGTAATAGAGAATATTATTCAAATCAGTCAAACTTTTAGTGCTCAATTTGAAATTTGATACATAGAATCTAAGTGAGTGAGTGACTAATCGAAACTTGATAAATTATAGTCTAGTCGACCATGAAAATATGGTTAGTTAGTGAGAGACAGATTTGGTTCTATATAATTAATTATAACCCAATCAATTTATTTTTAAAAATATTTTTCTAATTTAATCATCAGAGGGATGTTAAGTACGTCACTTTTTTATCTGATTGAATATTAGATGTGAAAAGAGCCCATCATCAAAGTAGTGAAATATTAAGGAGCAGTTTTCGGAATGGATTAAAAGGGCATGCATTCTCAATCGTGGCACATTATTTTAAAAAGAGTTAATGATAGGTACAACCACTTATATGTATGATCTTCTTGGCTTTTGACTCGAGGCTCATATGCTATACTATAAACAGAGAAAAGGAACAATGAACTCATGGTCACTGAAGTCTTGTAGTGCCCATGACAGGAAATGGGGGTGAGAAACTTGCCATTTCACCTATAGATAAGAACAATCAAATTGGTGAATTGAGGTGCATTTGGCTCATGAACATTTCTGTGTCAAGACACAGATGATCTTATATATATATATATATATATATATATATATCCTTGTATCACAAAGTATATAAGATCATCTGAATCATTTAAGATCATCTGTGTCTTGGAAGGAAACAGAATACAATGATAAGTGATCATATAACTTAAGCTCTTGATCACACTTTATATATATAGTGTGATCAAGAGCTTAAGTTATATGGTTCAAGTCAATTTAGAGAGATCATTGCACTAAAATAAAAAGAGACTTATGTAAGATTGGAACTCATAAGTTATTCTGATATAAAAAGCTTAGACTACTAGAAAAGTGTTCATATCATAATAAACATAATGTATATTAATTTCTAATATTATAAAGGGTGAATAGCCGGAAACAATTCATTGGTTTTTATTTGTTTTGTGGAAGTGGCTTATTTTCACTTTTTCCATAGAGCATCTTTTTTAACTTTCTATTTTTCCTCTCAAAAAAGGTGAGGGGTCTTTTCGGCCTTTTCAACTTAACTTGTTTTTTTTTCTTAACTTGATTTGATTCAATTTAGGCTTGATTTTATATATTCTAAATCGGTTTGTATAAATTCGAATCATCTCAAAATATTTAATTAGAGAAGTTAAAAATTATTAAAAAGATAATTTTTAATAATATTTAAATTTTGATATAAAATTATTTAAATTGTTGAATAATTTAAAACATTTTTGTGTATGAAGATAAATTTTGATTTTTATATTTTCTAGAAAATATTCTAATACAATATTATAGTAAAGTATTTTTCTTTAATAAAACTAAAATATTTCTTAATATTGATATATACATAAATATTAATTTAAAATAAAATTTTGGAATGTATATTTTTTAGAATATTTCTTAAAGAATATATTTTCATAGTATTTTAATTTTTTAATCATTATATCTTTATAATTAGTTTGATTATATTTAAGGGTAAATTTGCCCCAAGTTTTTATTTTTTTTCCCATTCTCATTTTTAGTTTATTCTCATAAAACACTTTTTATCTTTTAAAAATATCTTTGGCCTTTGTCCCATGGACTGCTACCTCGTTTCCTCATCGATGCTCGTTGTCTTGGCCTTGTCGACCTTATTTACCTAATCGTCTTCGACCTCCATTTTTATTCATATTTGCTTCTTGTTGTACTATCTTTGAGGAAGGCATCCCTAACTTCTTTCACACTCTCTTTTTGTCTTCTAGATTCTAGACCTTTACTTTTTTTCGTCTCTTATCACTCTTAGATTGGGGACGCAACTCGAGATGTCGAGATGCCTCGTGTGAAGAGTACGAAAGAAAAGTCATTTATTGTTTCCTTTTGAAAACAAGCAAACATGGGAAGAGGGGTAAAAACGACAATGAGAGGTAAAGGTGATAGACACCGTAAAAGAGGTCATGAATAATTTTATATTTTAAAAAAAATAAAAGTACTCTATCAGAATAAAAAGAAAGAATATGATAAAAACTAAAAAATTAGATATTTTTAGAAAATTATCTAGATTAAATTCATTTGACGGAATCTTAATACAATAAATCGGATCAAGCAAAAAGGGAGGGATAACGAAACCGGATCAGTTAAGAATGTGATGGTAACGAGGGGAAAAATAAATGAAAATGATCCGTTCTTTACGAAAAAAAAAAAAAAGAAGTAAAAACCGATAACCTTTTTCGTAATTTCCTCCTGTTACAAACACAAAATTGCATCACACTATTCAGAGGACGAAATATTTATTATCTGTTACATGGAGGACGATGTCACATTTTATAGCGAAATGATTCCCAATAAACTTTTAATCATCAAACGAGTCACTGCACCGATAACTCGGAGCATCTAATGATGAGCCGAAGTTTTGGTCCTATCCCCCACCATAAACCCTTTTCTTTATCCTGTCGCAATCTCTCCGCTTACACGGATACAACACGAAACCAAAAGGATTATCCGTCAATGAACTACCACGTGACGCATCCGCTACTTATACTCGAGAATTTTCTTGGCTTCTAACCGCTTCGGCTGTCCATGTCTTTGCACCCGATCCTCCTGCGTACTCGATTGGCCGTTCCTCGCTCTCCCAACCGAAACACCACACAGCCGCCCGTCTCAACGTGCATGCTATTTATTTTATTCCTACGCGTTACGGGAGTAGACGATATCATAATTCCAATTTCGAGCACGAATATTGATGCATGCACGTCGAGATATGAGCCGTTGAAGTGGAAATCTGTGGTCATGCTCTTTCGTCTCCAATAAGGTTTCAGCTGACCCAACTCCCAATCCACTTGAAGACCAAAAAATGAAAATATTATTGCATCAAGATGATGAGTGCTTCTTAGGACGATGGGCGGTATATTGGTGATTCTTATAGGAAACTTTATGCGGATTAGTATGTTATTAGATCACCCCGTTACCTTTCTTGGTTATTGTCATATGGAGGAACCATTTTTAACTGTATCCTTCTGCAGTAAATGCCCTTTCCATCTGCTCTGTCATGAAACGAAGCGAAGAGGCTTCTCCGGGACCCAGCGTGGACCTAAGGTTGCCCCCAATCATTTTACAGGTACATGTCAGGTTTCGCTACAACTAGGTGGACAAAATTATTTTTTATTCTTAGAGATCCCTCCCTTTCGAACAGACCGAGAGAAGAAAAAAAAAAAAAATATAACACATATGTTTCCATAAACTTTATAGAAGGGAAGAGAACGACTCCCCTGTTATTTCTCACTATTCCTCACCTTCGCCTCCTCTCTCTCTCTCTCTCTCTCTCTCT